TCGCGTAGAAAAATAACGTACACATTCTTATTCAATATAATTAATTTTCTTTTTCATGTATATATAGTACAAAAAAATTATTTCATGTGGAAAGAAGAATTTATATCGTGATTAATATTTATAAATCTCTTTTTATCGCGGCTCATATTCTCACACGTTACTTTTCACAAACATTCTCTTTTTTTACGAACACAGCATACCAACATCAAAACTAGCAGCCATCTTAAAACGAGCAGTTCGCATTTATAATCGTCTGATTTATTCGTACTCTCGATGCAGTTTAATTTATTCACTCGGGAAATACGTCTATCCTTTAGCGAGAATGGCATTCATTAAAATAATTATGATAAAATTCGTGCACCCCCCGTCTTAAACTTATGAATCTGAGTAGACTTTTTGAAAAGTTTTTAATATTATTCTTTAATATAATTCTAGTGATTATTTGATAAAATTTATTTTATACGAATATTTCATACGAAGAGAAATTTGAACGAATTGTAGAAAATTTCACGAGATAAATTATTCGTTTTGTTATTCGATTTTGAAAAAAAAAAACTTCTTTCTCCATATATCTATGTAATATTTGTATAAATTAATACTTCTTATTGATATTATTACGTGTTGATTGATGATCTTTGCACTTACTTTATAAAATCAATTATCTCTCTTTCAGCGTCGATGCCAGGGATCGAGATTTCGGCATCGCCGAACGATGGTCGGACGACACGGTGTTCTCGAATCGAGCTTACTTCATGCCGGACAAGAAACCGGCCGAACTCGGGGTGGACCACATAAGGGAGGAGGACGCGGGTATCTACAGGTGTCGCGTCGATTTCCAGATCGGGCAAACGAGAAACTCCAAAGTCAATTTAACGGTGATAGGTGAGTACTCTTCCCTTTCGTTGCGAGACGAAATTTTATCCACTCAAAATTTGATAAAGTTCATCAATATTATTTTTTATACATTCCTCGATATTTTCTACTATGAGAAAAATTGCGATTGATATTGAAACGACGAATAATTAATTTAAGAAAAGTAAAAAGAACGGATGTTTGAAAGTAGAAATCAATAGATTATCCATATTTGATAAAGTTCATCAATATTATTTTTGATACACTTGATATTTTTCTATAAGAAAAATTGCGATTGATATTGAAACGACGAATAATTAATTTAAGAAAAGTAAAAAGAACGGATGTTTGAAAGTAGAAATCAATAGATTATCCATATTTGATAAAGTTCATCAATATTATTTTTGATACACTTGATATTTTTCTATAAGAAAAATTGCGATTGATATTGAAACGACGAATAATTAATTTAAGAAAAGTAAAAAGAACGGATGTTTGAAAGTAGATATCAATAGATTATCAAAATTTGATAAAGTTCATTAATATTATTTTTGATACACTTGATATTTTCCTATGAGAAGAATTGCGATTGATATTGAAACGACGAATAATTAATTTAAGAAAAATAAAAAGAACGGATGTTTGAAAGTAGATATCAATAGATTATCAAAATTTGATAAAGTTCATCAATATTATTTTTGATACACTTGGTATTTTCCTATGAGAAAAATTGCAATTGATATTGAAACGACGAATAATTAATTTAAGAAAAGAATATTTGAAAATAGATATTAATAGATTATCACGCGAATATAGCTTAATTTTATCCGAATTAATTCAATTTCGATAAAAAGTAAGGGATAAAGATTCAATAGCGAAAGAATAAGAGAGCTTAATTCCCCTAAAAGATTCGCAAACCATATATGATCCACTTCGATATTTAAAATCCATTTCCAGCCAAAAAAAAGAAAACAAGAATTAAAAAGAAACGTAGGAATTGAAACATGGTAGAGCCCCAACATCTGTTTATTCACGCGAGCGTCCCTCGTTTGCAGAAACGCGAATGAATATTCGCCGACACATATTGTTTCCCAACGGCAAACAGAATTTCCTGTTTGCCGTATAGGCAATAAAAAGATTCGTCTGCTTTCATTCGAAATCGGGCGTGGAAAATCTACGGATAATCTGCGAGTATCTATCTAAAAAACATCTCTGGCAATCAAACGAACACGATCCAACATATTTTTAATACTTACTTTTCCATTGATATTAAACTTAATAAGTATTAAATGCAATGCTTAATTTAAATTATATTTCGAATATATTAGAGAAAAAATTAATTTTCACAATTCATTATATAATCTACTTGGATTCTGCACTTGAATTTCAGCGAATCTTATGCTTAAATTGCAAATAGATCTATAATAAACCTCTATTTTTTCTCTTTGCAATATTATAAAAATTATAAATAAAATCAAACTTTATTTCTTATTTTTCTTTAAAAAAAAAAAAAACCATTTCTTCCAAATTTCTCCGATTTAAACGTGGACCTGTCTAAAGGATTAAACTTCAAAGAGTTAAATATAATGTAAAAGAGCATAATGAACTCGTTAACTCTCCTCAAACCTGACTGCCTATAAATCCTGACTGCCATTTTTTCCAAACGTCTAAAAATTAAAGACATCGCAGACTCGACGTCCAGACAAGCTTTGCGCGTTTCCAGTTAAATTCTTTGGAGGGGAAATATAGGAAGGAAAATGGACGATGTATCTCGCTATCGCGGCCGCTTTTGCGCCACGAACCGAGCTTCTGTGCGTTTTTCGAGCGAGTTTCCGCGGGGCGCACGCGACGACACGAGAACGGAGGGAATATATCAAGATGAAAACTATGCCAGCCACCCTTGGACAATGGCGTGTCGCGCCACGTACTGGCATCCTCGAAGCGTTGCACAAGTTTTATCTGGGCGGAGGATCGCACAGGTTTTAACGCTCCTCTGCGAACGGTGCAATTTATGCGAGAGGAATTCGTCCCAGTGTCGTGGAACAACGCGCCACTTTTTCTGGAACCCGTTGTTCTCGCGATGGAGAGGGGGTTGGTGGAACCTTTGGCATTGAAAAGGAACGAGGGTTCAAGGTGATACGCTGTGAAACGAATTGTGAATCTGTGAATAAAAAAAAAGTTTTTGGTGGTGAGATTTTAGTGGAGAGTTAGATGGTGGATTTAAGAGTTAAGAAGTATTGATTATAAATGTCTGACAAATCTATTTTACTAATCAGAGTACACTTCAATCATATCAATTGTTATTCTTCATTCTCTTAATTCTTTGAAATCTTATAATATATAATAATTTGGTAAATATTTGCAGTCAATAATAAATGATTTAACTACGTATATATGATAAAAGTATATTATTACGTATTGCAGCAGAGATATGTATTGGAATTGTAATTATTTTTATATCTGATCAATACTTGAATGAAAGCGCGTATGCAAAAGAAATTTTATATTTTTTATTACATCATTGCATTTGAAGAAGAACAATTCGATTTTAGTATTCGAAGCAATTGCCGATGTGAAATCGACGAAAGATTATTCGTCCCTATTAAATCTTCAATTTTGCATGCGCATGTTGCGCATGATACGACGATATTATTTTACTCTCGATGCTTTATTAACGAATATCCATTTCAATCGGGGTCACGTTGCGTTTCGAATGAAATCGGTCAATAGAGAATCGAAATCGGACAATTAAAGCTTCCAATGCGTGGAAGAGATGATAATATTTATTTATGACGGTTTAGAATTTCACGCGCTAAAAAAAAAAAAATAGTGAAATACTATTCACGCTTCGTCGTTCGAATTAAACGATTTCCTGCGATTATCGAATAAAATTGGTATTCCGTACTCCGAAATCGAAAGGATGAAAAGAAATTATCCGACAGAATTTCGATTCTGAATAACAAATGTAACGAATAATCGAAATAATCCAAAAAAAAAAAAAATGGAATAATTAAAATCTGCAAGATGATACATCATATTCCGAAATATTTAATTAAAAAAACAAATAAAATAAAATAAAATTGAAAATATTCAAAAATCATAACTTTTCTACGACGAAACGATAAAATAAAAGGATCTCAAAATTATTGAGAAACGATTGAAAAACACGCAGGAAATCAAATCTCTGCGAAGAGTTTTTTTTCGAAAATATCGATCATTTATGGGATGATCAACGATCTTTGGCACGGATACGATGTCTCGTCGACTTTAACGAGCAACTTCTCCGTCGATTTCGATTTTCTCTCACCAAGCTTGGAGGAGATCCGCGTTGGAATATGGTTTCCGGGAATCTTCGTTTCCAACGAGTGCATCTCGTCGACCGTTCCGCTATACTCCGCTCCACGGATTTTTCCTTTGACTTTCATTTCCTGCGCCGCAACCGGATACGAAGGGAATCGAAGTGAAGAAGGGCAGAATATCACCGTGAGAGATCGATACCGTAAGCTCTGTACGTGACGTGATTCGCGTCTCTTTGCCATCAATGGCTTCCGATCGTTCCGAACGAGAGACTGTACGAGAATCGTTAACCCTTTTGCGACTATATTGTTTCAAATGGCGTGGCATAACGTGGAAATTCTTCGAATCGATCGTGGATCCAAAATGTACGTACTTCCTTTCGGAGAAAAAGACTTTCTTGGAAAAGTTTTATCTGGATCGGAATCTTAATTCGATATTATGATAATCCAATGTGTATTAATTTTTACTCAAAATTTAATTGTAAATAAGGAATGAAAAATGAAATTAAAAATCTCCTGAACTTGTAAAAGAACTAATTCAACTCAAAGTGAAATTACGATAAAAGCATACATCTTACCTCACATTGTAAATTAATTAATTAATAAATCATATTTTGAATCCACTAAAATCACTTCAGGATATAATATTGGAGATAAGATAAATCCATACTAATTTTTTATATATATATCCATTAACAAGGAAATAAAAAAAAAACGTTTCATTTAAGACAATAACAATGTACGATACAAAATAAATCATTTCGGGAGGAGGAACGAGCGACCCGGTAAAAATCGCCTTTATTCCCGAGTGCCTCTCCCAGTACATATCCCAGTGCATTCTTCTTCTTTTACGACCGTGGCACGTGTTTCATTCTGAAACCACGGTTCATCTCGAGCGAATAAAATTCTCAAGGAACGAAGGTACACCTGTACCTGTAAAAATCTCGCGACCGACCAAGAATATTTTGTCCGTTCCTCTCGAAACGATTTTCCTTCCTTCCTCGTCCATATGACAGGACATATCGCGAAACGAGAAGAGGAAATAACACTCGTGGCTGGGCTATCTCCTGGTGGCGCGGAATAAAAGTGGAAGGTCGAAGTTGGTAGAAGTGGGCATGAATAAGAACAGAAATGAAAAGGGGCAGCTGTTAAAAGGAAATGGTCGAGGGAGGGTAGGAGAGGGGCCGCTATCAACTAGAAACAGGAGGAGGGAAGAAAAAGAAGGGCGGACAAATGGGTCAAGAAGAGTATCAAAAGGGAGAGCGTGAGGGAGGAGGAGAAGGACCAATGAAAAATGGGAGGACACGAGAGAAGGGTGGATGGACGTTGAGAGAGAATGAATAAGAGAGAGAGAGGGGAACAAATAGGGCAAAACAATTGCCAAGAGGGGGGAAAGGTTAAGCGATGGAGGTGGGCGTGTTATAATGAAAACGACCGAGTAAAAGAAGGAGGGAAAAAAAAGAAAGAAAAATCCAATTAACAATCCCGTTCAAGAGTTATGGAGATGCCACCGGCCGAGAAATGTAGAACATTCGTTGCACGTTGCCGTTTTCCCTTCCTAACCCCCTCGAATTTTTCCCCTGGGATAATTAGCTCCCTCTCCTCCCCCTGCCAGCCATTTCGCGCCAGATCATCCTTGCTTCTGACCTCACTTTAACCAGAGTCGCTGGTGTTGGTAAATCTTTTTTTTTTTTTAGGACGAACGCCAATTAACGTGCTTCCCTTCTCTTTTTG